TTGACCTCACGAGCTCACCAAAAACACAATTTAGGAATCCATACAAGTATCATGCCAACTTAAGAAGTTCTAGTTTTAAAAACAAGTTTCAAAATCTTTAAATTTTGATAGATTTTAGACTTAGGCATTATAGTAGACATGTTGAAGTACAACCTGATCAAAATGCATCATCCTAATTTCATGAATTGGGTCTTACGAGTTCGTCAAAAATGACTTTTTTAAATCTAATTGGCTTATCATTATTGAGTCTTCTTTTCAAGAAATTATTTTTATTTTCATTAACTATCTATACATTGCAATCACTTGCCAATAGGTTTAGTACAGACTTTGAATTAATTTTTTTTAAATTATTTATTGGTTTTTACTTACCCAAGCTATGTCTATAAATAGGATAGAGGATTGTCTGCACAATTGCTCGTGGTCCAAAAAATGTTAGGAATAAAGTTGCACCTGGAGTCAGTATTAAAGAACAACATTTAGCAAAACCATTTTCTTTAATAAAATTTGTTTTTAAGTTATAAAAGAACATAGAGCAAAAGAGCAAATAGTATTCTATTTTAATACGTAAAAAATTATAAATAAATCTATTGACCATTTTGATTTTTGTTTTTTCTGCAACAAAATACTACACTTGACTTAGTTGCCAAATTATGTGGAAGAACAGCAACTTGCCAATAGGTAATTTAGATCTAGAACATTTTGCATATGACATATCAATAAAAAGGTCTCTAAGTGCTGAATACGAATTTGGTATCTGTTTTTGGTAAATCAAGTGGCCAAATCAGCAACTTTTCAACCAGAAAGTTGTTTTTTCTAAAAATAGTTTTTTTGGCTCTATTTACCTCCAATTCCCTCCACAGAAGCAGGAGGCAATGGAATTTTGGCCAAAATGTCCAAAAATTCTGACACTTTTTTCAAAATTGTTCCAAAATTCGTGGAGTCGACTTCTAGTTGCTCCAGACGACTGGAAATTCGACGATTTAGCTCGTTTTTGCGATTTAGTTCTTCTTTTGTAGACATTTTCTGGAAAAATAGATAATGATGCTAATTTTGTGGAAAATACTGGCACACCAAATATATATACTATTATATACATATACATTGTTTATTTTGTAGTTACTTGCTGATTCAGCAAAATAGTTTGCAGTACAATGAACTACAAAACAACATATAGCTTTCCATGCATTATTTATATAATTATAAACAAAAAATATACTGGCTTCCATCAAGTTATTAAATAGAAAATCTAAGATATGATTAGGAAAATTTCAATAAGTTTTCCATACTTTTAGAGTCTCTGTTTGACCCTTCTTCAGTAGATAAAAGACAAATTATTACTATTGTTATTAATTACTATATATTTATTACTAATTACTGTATAGTTTGTAAATTTTTTTACTGAAGAAGAGTCAAGTTGGGACTCCTAATATTTTTTTTAATAAAATTACTCTAAAGTGCATAAAAAACATTTTTTAAATTATTAAAATTTTAGGAATTTTGCCGAAAGAAATCAATGAATAAACTATTTATTCAATTATATTAATAAATTGAATACTTACTTCTATTTATTGGTTCCAACCCGCTATTCTATGCCACATTTATTAATAATTTATTTAAAAAATAATAACAAACACTTTCAAAATATAATTTCTTGCTGATAAATTTATCTATAATTAATAAACATAACTATTTTTATTAAATTAAACGTTATTTGTTTTATGATAAATAAAAATTTCCACTTGTTAATACTTTAACCACTATTGTTTACAAATTTATTTGTAGTCCTTTGCATACTTGATGCACTTTTTTTTAAATTTTCAATAATAACTATTGAGTATATTGTAATTAATGATTTTATTATTTATTTCTATATAAATTTATTATTTATTCCTATATAAATTTATTATCTATTTTATTAGTTTAAAATGATTTTGTACATTTGTGCTGCGGGCACAAATGTCAAAAATGTACCTGGTACATTTCTGCGCATGCTTCTTGGGCTGGGGGAGAAAATCTTTATATATGTGTATATATAAATATATAGAAATCTCCAAAAATCTCATTTCTATTATTTGGTCGATACATCACCTTGTTTTTATGGTACTTCACCTTGTATTTATTGTTATTCAACCTGTTTTCATTAATTGGCGTCAGTTAGGGTTGCAACTTGCCAATAGCCTTAAGGGTTCTTTTGGCATGTGACATATCGTTGAATAGAGTTTAAAAAGTGCAATACGAATACAATATTTGTATTTTATTTAAAACTAGCTGAACTTTTTAAATTTTTAATAATTGTTAGACAGGTAAACAGTCAGACAGGTAAACATATGAATAATTAAACAGGTAGATGGATAAATTTGATAACAAATGAACAGGTAGACAGGGCAGGTAAATTGGTAGATAGGTAATAAATAAATAGTTAAACAGGTAGATAGATATATATGACAACAAATGAGCAGGTAGACTGGTAAATTGGGAGATAGGTAAACTGAAATATAGACGAATATGTAGACAGCTAAATTGGTAAATAGGTAAAATGGTGGATTGATAAACAGGTTGATAGGCAAATTGGTAGATATGTAAATTGATGGACAGGTGAATTGGCGGACAGGTAAATTGTTGGATGGGTAAATTGTTGGACAGGTAAATTAGTGGACAGGTAAATTAGTAGACAGGTAAATTAGTGGACAGGTAAATTAGTAGACAGGTAAATTGTTATCCTGGTAAATGGTTGGGCCGGTAAACTGTAGGAGAGGTAAATTTTTGGTCAGGTAAATTGCTGGACAGGTAAATTGTAGGACAGGTAAATGGTTGTACAGGTAAATGGTTGTACAGGTAAATTGTTGTACAGGTAAATTGTTGAACAGGTAAATTGTTGGACAAGTAAATTGTTGCACAGGTAAATTGTTGGACAGGTAAATTGTTGGACAGGTAAATTGTTGGACAGGTAAATTCTTAGACTGGCAAATTGTTGGACTGGTAAATTGTTGGACTGGTAAATTGTTGGACTGGTAAATTGTTGGACTGGTAAATTGTTGGACAGGTAAATTGTAGGACAGGTCAATGGTTGTACAGGTAAATTGTTGGACAGGAAAATTGTCGGACGGGTAAATTGTCGGACAGGTAAATTAGATAGGTAGAGAGGTAGACAGATAATCATATAGACAGGTAGACTGTAAGACAAGAAAACTAGTAGACTAGATGTAACATGTAACAAATATGCTATTTGGTTCAAATTTTTAGTAACAAATAAAATCAAACCAGGTTTTTAAATTCGTAAAATAAATATATTATAATTATATATGTATATATGTATGATTATAATATATAATATATTACTTAACTAAAGTATCTTTTGACTTGAGAAAAAACAGCCCTGAGTATAATATAAAATGTATAATTATATGTCCAGTAGAACCCTGTTAAGACGATCAGGTTTAATACGCTCTCTGCACCTTGAAACTTATTGTTCTTATACCACGTGACACGTTTTTTTGCTTAAGACGTGTTTTTCGTATGGTCCCTGAGAAATGGTCTTAATGGGGTTTTACTGTATACTAATTTTACTTAAAGAAAACAATTTAGCACAATATAAAACCTCAATACAAAATTTCTAAAAAAACATAAATTTTATTTGTTCAATTACTATATTATTATATATTAATTTATTTTCATCAGATGTACTAAAATGTTGTTTATGTAATATTCTTGCCAGCACGTCCTGAAGAGCTTGTGAAAATCGAGTTTATTTTTCAAATTCTACTAGTATCAGTATGTCCTGAAGAGCTTATAAAAACACGTCTTTTTTAAAATAAATTTCACAATAGTACATCTGACAATATAATTTAGTCTTCTTAAGGCGAGTCTTTGTTTCCAAAAAAAATTAACCAGCAATTTTTTTCTTGGTCCTAGGCTTGATTTGGGCCTGAAAAAAATAAAAAAAATATTTTAAATTTATTTTATTATTATTAGAAAAATATAATTAGTGAAAAATTCGTTTTTAGTGTATGTTAGTTTTTGGAGAACCTTTGCAAAGTGAAAATATATTTAAAACAAAGTCGGAAATTTGGACATTTTGGGTACGGAACCCTAAAACATAATACCTTCTATTAATTAACAAAAAAAAATATTTTTGGTTAAACAAAAACTACACAACTTTGCATGGTTCTACTAAAAGTTTGATATCCCCTACGAAGTTTTACTTCAAATATAAAACATTACGCGTTGCAATAATTAAAAAAAAATCTACAAAAGTTGTTATATTTTCCAAGAAAATAATCAATTATCAAACTACTGTATATTTGTTTTTCTTTGAAGTAAACCTTCATGAGGCAACATCATCTTCACTTGTTTTCAAAAATTGGGTGACAAGTTAATGGCTAAAAGCTAACGATTAATTTTTTAGGCGATTTAGGCAGGTTGTCGATTATTTCTCATGATGATTTCAGGTGATTTTGATGACTGGTGATGATAAAGCCACAACACAACGCTAATCTCACATACTTTCTGAAGACTTTTGGATGTCCAATGATTTTTGGATGACAAAATTTTGGTCATTCATTTTAATTCCAACCAATTGGAAAAATTTGTTTTCCCAATTGTTTTTTTTGTTTAGAGTAGATCCTAGAGAATCATCTAGGATCTCACTTCCAGAATTCAGGATCACGTGTTTAGACATCCAAAGACTTTTGGTTCGTTGAAGATTTCTGAGAAAATCCTTCAACTTTGGTGTGTCTTTGGTTTGCTGTTGATTTCTTCTGAAAGTGTTATAGATGCCTTAATTTCTTTTGTCTGATGTAGATTCCCGAAAATCATTTGGGATATTATGAAAGCGTCCAAAATTTAAGCACGTATTAGGATTTTTAACACCAGGTGTTGCCTTAAACACAATTTCAATTTGGAAATCGACACTACTTATTGTATGCATAAAACTCTATATTTTTTCGCGAAATTTTAGTATCAGAGCGTGACATATTATCTAATTTTTGGTTACCAGCCTCTTTGGTTTTTAACAATTATCTTCCAAATCATCGAAAAATTACTAAAATGTTGCTTCTAAATTACACAATCATCATTTTTCAGACATCTGTTTCAAATACACTGGATGTTGTGGATTTGGCGTCAGAGTCTGTAATTTTCACTATTTTATCATCATCTTGGCTCCTTAAACTCGTTTGGGATGATCCAGAGTTTGATACATTGTCTTTGTTATCCTTGGGTGTTCCTAAAAATGATGTTAATTTGCCTTTGAGTTTAGATAATCCAGATTGTTTCTTCTGTTTTTCTTCTGGAAAAGGTGATGGACTTTTATTCCTAATTTCTGTGTTTTTTATAGAACTTGTTGAAGTTTTAGAAGATTCTCCAAAATCTTGGTTTTTGGTTTGACTAGATTTAACATCATCAAGAGAATTTTTAGGAGATTGTGGTCTTTCTAATGCATCATCAATTGTATGTGATGTATCAGCATTAATTTCTACTAATTTTTGACTTTCGAGAAGTTTTTCTTTATTTGGTGGCTCAGGAGCTTTTTTCTTACCAATGACATGCACTTTCTTATTTACTGATTCCTTATTTACCTTATTGTTTTCATTCGAAGTGCTTGGCAAATTGGATTTCTCATCAACTGAAATTTTTATAGAAATATTTCCAGAAACTACATTTTCAGCATTGTAAGAATCTTCTATCTCCGATGTATCATAATACGTTTCTTCATCAGAATCTAAATTTCTGATAAAATTTTCCGGGATTTTGCATGTTTGTGGTTTTGATGTATTTTGTATATCAACTGCTAATTTTTTTGGTATATCGAGGTTGATTTTCTTGTCAAATGCTTTGTCGAACATAATTACGTCAACGGAATCGTCAGAATCGTTTTTGGTGTCTGTGGAAAGTTTATATATGCTTCCACTAGATTTGATATCAATTTCTTTGGTTGTTGTCTTTGTTGGTTTAAATTTTGACCAATTTGGATCTGATATTGGTGGTTTTGAACTAAAAGTTTTACCAGTATTCAAAACATCCTGTTCACCTGCTGGCATTTCTTTAACCTCAACTTTTTCTTGATCTCTCGATGTCTCGCAACTATTTTGCAACTCCACTGCGTCTAAATCACACTCAACTTTATCAAACATCTTGTTATTTTTAACATCTGGACATATCTCATCAATTTCCAAAACATCCTCCAAGTTCGTCACATCTGTTATAGTAACATTTTTGTAAAAATAAGATTTGCAATCAATTTTATTACCAGAGGAAGGCTGGTACGGGACCTTGTCTTGGTCTTCGTAATATTCCAGATCCTTTAAACAGAAATTTCGAGTTAATTCATCCTGGAGGATTAAAAAGATGGAAAACACAGACTATTTATTACCAATCGTATCGCGGAAATGATGTTGTTAGCACTAATTTTGGGTGTATAATATTTTTTACGACATTAGGTTAATCAGTTAATTGACTATTTGTGGCGATGACTTCTAAAACAATGATCTAAATAGTCTGCGTCTAATCAGAATTTCATATATAACCACAAATCTATTGCTTTCAATGACAATCTGTGGTTTAATTTTTATTACCTCGGGTATTATCGAATTGGCAGTCAGGTCATTGTTGCCGCGTTTTGGATATGTCCTGGGTTCCGTACTAGCAGAACTGGAATATCCTGAACTTTCTTCTGATGCTTTGCGACTGCGGAAGATAAACTTTTAGTACAATTTTTTTATCAGACATTATAGATATGGTTATGTTATACCTAATTTTTGGAGTTGTCTTCTCTCTGCTATAGTTGTCCTCAGAATAACTCAACGGTCTTTGTCTTGAAATATCGCTTTTTCTTCTCAGTATGGAAGACGAGATATTTGCTCGTTTGGCATCAGACCATTCCTCAGTTTCATCTAAAGATAATAGATATTAGAGAAGGAAAAGAAATATGAAAATGAGTCTATTTACCAATATAGTCTTCATCTGAACCACTTCGCAGACTAGGAGCCTCTGGAATGTCACTCAGACTATGGGTTTTTCTCAATTGGTGCATCAAGTTTCCGCTACTCTAAAATTTAGATAAAAAATTGAATATTTTGAACATGTGTTTAGGCTGTTTTGTAATTGGATTTTCTTTTACCTTGATGGCTGTATTCAAAAGAGCATTTGTAGCTTTTGAACCAAGTTGTAAGACTGCTCTGTAGCCCTTGTCACGAGCTACTGATAAAGCTTCATCGATCTCCTGAAATTAAAAAACGATTTTAGATCCTTTTGTTGTTGCAAACGTTTGAAGCTTAATTTTAAACATTTTTGTTTCGGTGATCATTGATATTGATCGAATATAATATATTTCAACTTCTACCTGTTCTCGTCTCGCCAAAGCAGGATGCAAAAACTTCTTATATAGCATAGAACTTCCTTTAGTGGCCGGAGAGAGTAGCCACAAAATCAACAAAATCTTGACTTCATAATAAAATGGCAACCAGGTCAGACAGAGATCTGCCATTTGTTCTATGGCACTGAAGGTTGCCAAAACTATCCAGTACATCATCCATTTTACATATTCCCGTACATTTTTGCTCCTAACTGCTTTGTAGGAGGCGTAAGCAGGATATAGACCTCCTGAAGGGATAAAGAACTTATTAGATAGTTTAATGTACTTAAATAATTTAGCAGAAATAGTGAAAAGGTGTAAAAATCGTTTCTTCTGTATATTTTTCTCACCTATACAATGCCTGTATGCAGGATAGATCAGAGTCTGGACTAAAGTTTTTGGTCCAAAAAGCGTCAGCATTAATGTTGCGACTGAAAAAGTAACCAAAAAATTTTTTTTAAATAACAATAATAGTATAAATAAACATCTGAGGACGTTCAGAATGTCTGCTTTGGCAAGGAATAGTAGAATTGATGGTATCAAAAATTATTCGAGGAAGTAACATGGACAAAACCAGTAGGTACCAGATCAAGTTTTACAGTTGGAACCTTCCTAATTCTCAAATAGAGGTTAATGGATTCTGATCTCCTTAACCAGAATTGTGGTAGATTTCTGAAGTCTTCACATTAAAAGATTTTTTCCTTAATACATATAATCTTTACCCTGGTCTTTTATTCCCTTACCTGCAATTCCTCCAACGTTGGCAGGCGGCAGAGGCATCCTCGACAAAATATCCATAAGGACGCCCAACTTCTTCAAGATCAGCAACCAGGAATTCTGCTGCATATGATTGATATTTTCATCATGTTCTTCTAAAATATATCTTTTCTTCATCAATTTTGTTGGAATCATTGGAGATCTTTCTTCAAAATCCATCAGTCGATTGGAATCTTCATCTATTGATGATGATAGACTGAAGGATGAGTCTTGGTGCTGGTAGATCAACTTTTGACGAGGTTTTGGATTAGTTTGAGGCATCTAGAAGAGGAAATTAAGTGGTAATAGTTAGTTTGGTAAAAAATAGTAAAGTTGACGGATTCTGAAACAAAAGTTATGGAATTGTAGCAAATTTCGAGAGATGGCGCTATTATTTTTTGGGTGTAAAGTTGTAATTCGGTTATATTATATGCCTACTATGATAACAAATACTAAAATCGATGCGTTTTCTTTTAATATATAAAAAATTTCCTCGGTTTTGCCATAAAGGCTAATACAAGATAATAACAATTTAGTACAATTAATACATAATAATTTTATATGGATAGATTTAAAATGTCTTTTTTGAAGAGCTCGTAAGGCCATACCAGTAAAGTTAGGATCTTGTAATTTATAAATATTGTACATCAATATGTCTACTATGATAACAAATACTAAAATTGATAAGTTTATTATCAATATTACAAGGTATAAACAATTTAATGCAACAAACATCCAAAACTATACTATAATAATATACAGATTTTTGATTTTAAAATGTTATTTTTCAAAAGCTCGTAAGATCATACCAATAAACATAGGATGTTGTAGGATGGTATTAAAGAGTTTGAGTATGTTATTCTTTAATATGTCTACTATGATAACAAATACTAAAACTGATAAGCTTTCTCTCAATATTACAAGATATAAACAATTTAATGCAACAATTACCTAAAACTATTCTATAATAGTATACAGATTTTTTATTTGAAATGTTATTTTTGAAGAGCTCGTACGATCATACCAGTGAACTCAGGATGTTGCAATTTGGGTATGGTATACCTTAATATGTCTACTATGATAACAAGTACTAAAATTGATAAGTATTTTCCCAATATTACAAAATATTAACAATTTAATAGTGAAAATTGTAATTCTAAATTTTTGATTTTAAAATGTTATTTTGAACTTTTCATAAGGTCATATGGTAGGATATTGTAATTAGTGTATATTATCCTTTATTATGTCTATTATGATAACAAATACTAAACTAGATAAGTTTTTTCTCAATTTTACAAGATATAAACAATTTCTTGCAACAATTACCTAAACTTATAGTATAATAGTATACAAATATTTTATTTTAAAATGTTATTTTTGAAGAGCTCGTAAGGTCATGTAGTAGGATATTGTAATTTGTGTATGTTATTCTTTAATATGTCTACTATGATAATAAATACTAAAATTGATAAGTTTTTTCGCGATATAATAAAATATTAACAATTTAATGCAACAATTACCGAAAATTCTAATCCTAATTTTTTTATTTTAAAATGTTATTTTGAATACCTCGTAAGGTCATGTGGTAGGATAGTGTAATTTGTTTTTAATAAGTTTTTTTCCTCAATATTTCGAAATATTAACAATTTAATGTAACAATTACCGAAAATGATTCTAATACAAATTTTTTATTTTAAAATGTTATTTTTGAAGAGCTCGTAGGACGTGTATATTATACTTTAATATGTCTACTATGAAAACAAATACTAAAATTGATAAAAAAAATCCAATATTACAAATTATTAACAATTTAATGCAACAATTACCGAAAATGCTAATTCTAAATTTTTGGTTTCAAAATGTTATTTTGACTACTCGTAAGGGCATGTGGTAGGATATTGTAATTTGTGTACATTATCCTTTATTATGTCTATTATGAAAAGAAATACTAAAATTGATATATTTTCTTTTAATATTAATAAGATATTGTTATAAGTTTGATTTTGTATTGTAATTTTTGAAGAGCTCGTAAGGTCACACCAATAATTAATAAATTTGGCACAAAATGTATAAATATATATATATATATATATATATATATATATATAATTATATATAAATTAGAAACTGAATTATTATATTTAATAATGCAAAAAAACGAAAGAATGACAAATAGTTGACCTCGCGTTTAGAAAATTATATACATTTATTTATACATATAGAGCAAACTAATTGTGTTTGGTCACTGAAACGTAAAAAATACATACAGATATATATATATATATATAGAAATGTATATATATATATATATATATATATATATATATAGAAATGTATATATATATAATTATATTAGCGGTTCTTTTGTTTAAACAAAAATTAGTCACAACCGTTTCATCTACAAAGTAATCCGAAACGAAAAACTTTAAATAATTTGAGAATTCACTTTAATTTGTAATTTATTAGTATTAGAAAATATATGTTTAATGTATTAATATTTATTAATATTACAACTTTTATCAATATAAATTTTTAATTAGTACAAATATTACAATTAGTAATTAGTTAAATTTCTAAATTGTAACAACAAACTATTATGGAGTTGAATATCTAAGTTCTGTGTTATTATTAAATTTAGATATATTTAAAATCGAAAATTTATTGATTTTAGTCTTTGTTGTCATAGTAGACATAACAACATCCTAACTCTATTTTTGCAAAAAGAGAAAATGGCACATTTCTAACTTCATAATTAATTTATAACCAAAAAAAATAGTACCTTTGATCAGGTTCATTTTCGAGTTTTTGTCGATTTTTGACTATAAAACATAAGAGTATTAAAATGAAACTTTCTGGACTTTATTTCTTGCTATTTTATATATATTTAGATTTTTACAAAAATAGTAAAATAACTCTATTTCTACTGGTATGGCCTTACGAGCTCTTCAAAAATCACATTTGAAAACAAGCTACCTATAGGAGAATAATTCTAGGTATTTGCTGCATTAATTTTGTTTATAGAAAGAAACATATCGAATTTAGTATTTATTGTTATAGTAGATATATTAAAGTATGCATTACCTATCATAATTTGAGCCAATTTTTTTAAGGAGATGTTTAAAATATTTTATAACATATAAATGAGCAAAAAATATTTTAACAAGCAAATCATCACATAGTTTGAGTTCTTTTAAACAAACGCAAATTATTAGTAATAATTATACAATGCCAATAATGCATATATATATATATATAATTATATATAATTTAACATATATATATATATATAATTTAATTTTGTACAAATTTGCCTCAAACATCATTGACATCAATCGAATAGTTGAAGATTTATAAACGATAAATCTAAAAATGCACTCTAGCAAACTTAAATAGATCATTGAACTTCTACAGCTTGTTTAAAGAGTTGCTCTAGGGTCTTCTAATGTTCCACAATATTATAAACAATTTAATTTTGAACAAATTTGTCAAATACATCATTTACTATAAATAAACTGTTTAAAAAATACAGCAGATTTAATGAAAAAACATACTGAATTACATATATAAATAGTGCAGTTGGATAGATTAAATCTAATGAATTAATTTATTATAATTAAATAATTTAGCATTAAATCTTATTAACAATCTTACCTTAATTGTTTAAATAAATAAAAATCCAATCAAATATACACTACAATCATATGATTCGAGAAAAACACTGTGATCTTGATGTCTTCCTTTACTTTCGTCGACATTTTGTTTACATCACTTAAAAATTGAAAACAAATTGAATAAATAAATACTTTTACACATGAATTTAGATATTTAAAGCTTTAATTTTAATTTAATTATTGTTGTGTGTTTTTTATGTTTTTAAATATTTTAAATCGTGTTCATGTTTTTAAAGACAAAGACATGGATGCAAGTGATGAATATATTTCTCGTACGAGAACTCTGATTCTAATTTTAGGTACTAAAATACAAGTCCTAAATTTTATTTATAAATGCAGGCCAACGGCATATATACATACGTACACACACATGTATAAATACATACATGTATACATACACACGTACATATTTAAATAAATACCCTGAATTTTTATTAAAATACTTACATACATTTTCGTAAACATTTCATACATAATTTAACACACATTTATACAATCAAATACACACTTTATACGCGTATATACACACATTTTAACGCCTAATTTTATACACCACACTCATTAATATACTTGGACACACTTTTACACACTTATGCACTCTTTTACACACTTATGCACTCTTACTCACTCTTACACTTTTTCACTTATACACTTTTACTCACACTTATACACTCTTTTTCACACTTATGCACTCTTTTACACACTTATGCACTCTTTTACGCACTTATGCACTCTTTTACACACTTATGCACTCTTTTACACACTTATGCACTCTTTTACACACTTATGCAATCTTTTACACACTTATGCAATCTTTTACACACTTATGCACTCTTTTACACACTTATGCACTCTTTTACACACTTATGCACTCTTTTACACACTTATGCAATCTTTTACACACTTATGCACTCTTTTACACACTTATGCACTCTTTTACACACTTATGCACTCTTTTACACACTTATGCCCTCTTTTACACACTTTTACTCGCGTAAACACACTTATACACTCCTACTCACACTTATGGAAGCTTTTACACATAATTTTACACCTATAAACGTTACATACTCATTTAAATACGGTTATATATTATTTAATTTAAACATATTTTACACACTTTTTAACGATTTTAAATAGTTATACCATACTTATAGACTTTTTACACATTTCATACACATTTACACAATTTAAACATATTTTATATACTCATACACTTTTATATACATTCATTTACACTTATTAATATTTATAGGTAATTAATAAATATATAATTATGTGTAATTGAGTAAGTCTATACATAATATAATTCGTAATAACAATGTGTATACTTATTTATCTTCCGGACTAAAAGTGAGACAATCCAGATATCCAGATCTATCGTCTATAAATAAATTTTAAATTAAAAGAAATTTCATATAAAATACTGAAGATTTAATTTGTGCAATAATCCAGAATGTCTATTTTATTAGTCAATTTTTCCGATTGAATTATTTTAGAAAGTTAAAAGTGTTAAATAATAATTGAAAAAATATGTAATCGTTGAATGAAGGTTTGATTACGTTTGTGAGATTGCTTTTTTGAAATTTATAATAAATATTTAAAATTATAGAATTATATACACTTACATATATTTGTACACATTTATATACATTTTTACATTTTTTATATATATTTACATTTTTTTAAATTTATTTTTTAACACATATCTATATTAATAACAAACTTACTTACACACACATATTTTTTATTACTTACACATATTTATAGACATACATACATACTTTTCAGCACTTATACACACTTACATACATTTATACACATTTATACACATTTATACACATCTATGCATATCTATGCACATTTATACATATTTCTACACATTTCTACACATTTTTATACATTTATACACATTTATACTCATTTCTACACATTTCTACACATTTATACACATTTATACAAATCTATACACATATATACTATACACATTTATACACAATTATACATATTTATACACATCTATGCACGTTTCTACACGTTTATACACATTTATACACAATTATACACAATTATACACAACTATACACAATTATACACATTTATACACATTTATACACAATTATACACAATTTTACACATTTACACAAATGTATACGCACTTGAATACATTCACACCCCTTGCATACATTCATACACACTTGTACACATTTATACACACTTATGCACACTTAAACACATTTATACAAAATTACACACATTGTACTCATACACACTTGTACATATTCATACACACTTATGCATACTTACACATTTGTACAAAATTACACACACATTGTATACATACACACTTGTACATACATATTCATACACACAATTTACACACATATTCATACACACTACATATACACATTTGTACATACGTGAGCACATTTACACACAATCACATGCACCTACATATATTGGTGCACACTTGCACACAATTACACACAATTTTGCACACATACACATATTTGTACACACTTATGCATACTTATACACATTTTATTCACACTTATACAAACTTACACCCTAGAATCACCTTATTAATTAATTATTTATATTTACACTAATTTACCTATATACATTTGTGCACACTTGCACACAATTACACACAATTTTACACACTTATTTGTACACACTTACACATACTTATACACACTTATACAAACTTACACCTACATACTTAAAAAATTCTAGTCACCTTATTAATTATTTTCTTATATTTACACTAGTTTTATATAATTTAGATCAATCTTTTTAATACTATTTTTATAACACAAGTCATCAGTCTTTTCACTACAAAAAACTCAATATTTTTTGGCAAAGTTAACAAATCACATATTCTTTAAACTACCTATTAATTTGTTATTAATAATTTATTGTTAATATTTAAAAAAAAACAAAAAACTAAAAAAATGTACATCTTGATTCGAGATCTATTCGAAGACTGTGCGACACACGTTCGGAACATATGATTCGCGAAATAGTTATATTAGGAACCAGGGGAGGAGAACAATTGAGAAAATAAAAAAAAAATAATAAAAAAATATAGGAAGTGCTAGAAAGATTTGTGCACTAAGGGTTTAGTATGAAATAAAAGCTTGTCCTTTACTTCGACACATTTACACACACCAATAAATTTTTTTTAACAAAATAATTTCATTCATATACATACTTTGATACTTTTAAACACATTTTTATACAAACATGCACATTTATATATGTACAAACACATGCACAAACATTTGTAAATAATCAAACACATTTGTACATATTTAAATACATTTTTATAATATTTATTTATTTTTATTTATTTATTTATTTATTTATTCATAAGCAAGTATTATACACATTTACAAAGTATCAAACACATTTCTTCACATTCATGTGCATTTTTATACAAATGTGCACATTTCCACACTTTCAAACACATTTTTGCACACTTACACATCTTTAAACACATTTTTATGAAATTATACACATTTACACACTTACATAGATATTGGTATACATTTGTACACATTTATATATATATTTACACATTTTTATATATATTTAAATACATTTTTATGATATTATACACATTTACATATTATCAAACACATTTTTTTTGGATTTACACACATTTTTATACAAATGTATACGTTTTTACATTTTCAAACAAATTTTTTCACACTTATACATATTTAAACACACTTTTCACAAAAGTAAACACACTTTTTATAAAAGTACACACATTTACACACTTATAAACGCGTTAATATACATTTGTACACATTTTTATACACATTTACACATTTTTATACGAATATGCTCATTTATACAATTTTAAACATATTTATATACTTTTATAGAAACTAGGTGAAGATTACATGAATACACACACACACATATATATATACACACACATATATATATATATATATATATATATATATATATATATATATATAAATCTTTTGACCATCAATTGTCATTACATATATGGTGTGATCATGAAGATTTAACTGTCACTTTCGCCCACTCTAATAATTATATTTAAATATATAAATATACATATAAATGCATATATATATATATATATATAAATGTATGTATATATATATACATTATAAATTAGTATTGTTCGTGAAATAATTTATTCACCGAAGGTCTAATGAATTCAAATATAAATCATCGACCTAATGTTGTTCCAATTTCTTTTATCATTTTATAATTTCAATTTTGTAATACATACTATTACTATTTAAAATAAACTGAACTGTAATAACAATTCGAATCATTATTTTTGTTTAATAATTACAAAACGCGTTGCTAGTTATATGTAGGTTACGCGGACATCGGAAGTGCTTACTGTTGGATTTTGTAAATAGGTTGTAAACAATAAATTAGTATATAAGAGTTAGACGAAAGTTAGACAGGCAGTCAAACCTGGAGTAAGACTCGGAGACAGACATAGAGTTAGTCAGACATAGTATTCAGTAAAATGTAGTCTTTGCTGATATGATAACCAACAGGTTATCAACAAATATTAATTGTAAAATAGTGAATAATAAAAGTATCATTCAAAGTAAGAAGTGTGTTTACAAATTACTATCAATCGCTGTTCGTACTAAAGGCCTTTCACACTACCAGTGGACTCTGGAGAGTCCACATCACAAATATAATATTTCAACAACTATTCAATTGTTCACCGCTCGGGTCCAGCCTATCATTACAATTCCTGGTTGTACTGGTGATCCAGAACATACCTCCCAATATACACTACCACAGCCAGGACAATTCATGGTGGCTTAGCGGTTTTTTCCCTCGTAGCGCTGAAGAATTTTCTGACGGAGATATCGAGTTCAAAGCTGCCACAACTCGACAAACCGAACGATCATTCGCAGCACAAACTAAGGGATGGTGGCGCCTACCGAAAAACTTTAGAACGAACGCGAGACTACGACTAACTTGGACATAACTATCTCATCGGATTCAAGTAAGCAAATCAAAATTTAATCATATCTCAAGATGGAACCCATTTTTGAAGAAGCTAGAAAAGGTA